CTTGAGAACGCAGCCTTCATATCATGCCCTTAGCCATGAGTGAGTGTTTAGAGTGCTTGTGCTTTCATGCTTTATACTTAGAACTATTGCTGGATACTCCTGGAAACTGCCTTACTCCTAGATGCATTATGACCTGTGGACTGATGACATGTTGAGAGGTATTGACCTTTAGATATGTGCGTTGAATATATATATTGAGTGGTATTGATTATTGAATAATAAATTATATTGAAAAGACTATGATGAGTCTGTGTGATTCTTCCCTGTGCTCCGACACGTCAGCATTAGCCTTTTTCGAGCTGTGTGGCAAGTGGCGCTCATGACACACTGCCCTGCCATCCTGTCGTCCCTGATGTCTCCACGGTCTCTCCACAGTTTTGCCCTGTTCAGATGGTCCTGGGGCTGGGACGGCAGCGTGTGGGCCCTTCAGATGGGTGCTGTGGAACTCAGGCCCAGAGACAGGCATGCATGTAAGGAAACAGGTTAACTGGGAAAACAGCATCTTCAGGCCAAACGCACCATCCCAGTCCTCAAGGTAGTGGGAGGACAACACGGAGTAGACGGAGGTGAGGGCAGACAAGTGGTTCGTTGATCATCAGACAGGTCCCAGGCTCAGTTCCGACCACCCTGATGCCAGCAAGGTGGAGGCTTCTTTGAGGTCAAAAGCTTGGCTGTTGACAGCTGCTGCCTGTGGATTCTTCCTTACCTGGGACCTGCAGGTCTGACCATGTCCCTGCAGCCAGTCCTGGGAATTCTTTCTTTAAAAATGTATTTATCTGAAGCAGAGAGTGACAGAGATGGGGGTGTAAGAAAGAGCTTCCGTCCACTGGTTCACTCCCTAAGTGGCCGTGACCTCCGAGTCTGGATCAGGCTGAAGACAGGAGCCTGGAGCTCCATCTGGGTCTCCCACGTGAGTGCAGGGGCCCAAGCACTTGAGCCGTCCTCTGCTGCTTTCCCAAGTGCATTAGCAGGAAGCTGGATTGGAAGTGAAGCAGCCAGGACTGCAACTGGGGTGCTCAGATGGGATGCTGGTGTTGCAAGCTGGCACAGTCCAGTCCCTGGAATTCTTACACATTACTCATTGTTGACCAGCACTGAGCTTTTGTCAGACTGTGAAAAATAAAGGAGGGTGTGTTTGTGGGGTCACAGCATGGGCCCCTCCCTCGGCCATGTGCATTTCCTCTGCTGTCTTCTTGTGGCTCCACGGCTCCTTTCCTTGTAGTGCAGAGCGGCATCCCATTCACCTCCTGGAGGACACCTTGGTTACATTCAGGTTTTTTGGCAATTACTCAAAATCCTTTCATTTCTCCAAGTTTCAGGAAAAAAAAATCACTACACACACACACACACACAGATATATTTCAAAATGTTTGTGGAAAATGGAATTAAAAGTTTATCTCGATACAATAAATTTTAAAATCCACGATTTATCATTATACACATTTCCCATAAACTTTTGAAGACAACCTTGTATACATGGATTTCAAAATTGCAGGATCTCTGCTTTTTTTTTTAAGATTTATTTATATATTTGAAAGGCAGAGTTACAGAGAGGCAGAGGCAGAGGCAGAGAGAGGTCTTCTGTCAGCTGGTTCAATCCCCAGATGGCCACAGTGGCCAGAGTTGAGCTGATCCAAAGCTGGGAGCCTCTTCCAGGGTCTCCCATGTGGATGCAGGGGCCAAAGGACCTGGGCCATCTTCTACTGCTTTCCCAGGCCATAGCAGAGAACTGGATTGGGAGTGGAGCTGCTGGGACTTGAACTGTTGCTCATATGGGATGCCGGCTTCACCTGCTACGCCACAGCAGCGGCCCCAGGATCTCAGCTCTTGATTCTGTGTGGAATCACTCCTTCCACTTAGAAACACTTGGCCCTGAGGCTGTCTCCACAGTGCACTCAGGGCTCACAGAGTTGGGCACAAGGTGCACAAATGTTGATGCTTCCCACGTGATGAGGGCTGGCAGGGTATGGAGGAGATGGCTCCAGTCCTCACTGTAACTGTGTTATCATTTCATAAAACTATTTGACTCTTCCAGAGGAGACCAAATGAGTTCCCATGATAGACCGCTGACAAGAGTTAATTAAAAAACCCTCCACCTAATTGCACTGCACAGAGTGTGTGCTGGTTCTGGATTTGGGAAATGCTTGCTGAGCCGCCTTGGTTGTACCACAGGGAAAGAACTCCAGTTCTCTCTCTGCCAGCTTTTCCAAGGTGATTTCTCACAGGTGCGGGCGGTGGCGTTGGGCCATAGGAGCAAGGCACTGTGGGAGAGACCTCGTGGCATGTGCCACAGGTGCCTGGAGAACATGGCCCTGCTGGTAGGAGCCCTGTCCAGCTCTCAGCATGCCAGCTCTGCAGGGTTGGGCCCATGTTGTGGTTCCCTGGTGGACCAGCCGTGTTGTCTGCAAATGCACCAGAAGCTGTGCTTGACTTCCCAAGGCCAATGCTGGCCCAGTTCTCTCTGCTCCAGTGAGCACAGCCTTGCACAAAGAGCCCAGGGTGTCTAAGTAACACAAGCATGTTGGGAAAGCTCCCCTGATGACCCATTTCCCACCATCCACAGGTGTCTGTCACTTTCTTCCTGTGTCTCTAGTTCTTTTTGTTCTGTCTCCTTCAACCCGAAACTCCCAACCTCAGCTTGTCACCAAAGCAGTCCTCACATACAAACTGCCCCAGGTTGCCTGGTTCCCCATCTGCATCTCCCCTCATCCATTTGCAACAGGGCCTTCCATTCAACAGTGAACACTCGCACACATTAGGTGGAACATGAGTTCTAAGGCCAGACCGTGTACTTGATGCAGAGGACGGACAGGGGCCCACCCCTCAGGTGGCTTGGTTCTTGCACAAAGCTCAAGCTGCACCGTGATGATCACATCCTGCCAAGAATACAGTAACCACATCCAGTTCCTCTGGATGCAGTGAACTACCCTCTCCCTCCTCAAAGCCATCTGCAAGGCTGTGGTTTAGCTCTCCAACCCTAGGCAAAACCTTGCCAGAACAACTGAAGCACAGGAGAGGGACAGTGTCGCCCTAAATTTAAAAAGGACTTCAGGGGCTGGCACTGTGATGTAGTGGATAAAGCCGCCACCTGCAATGCCAGCATCCCCTCTGGTTTGTGTCCCAGCTGCTCCACTTCTGACCCAGCTCTCTGCTATGGTCTGAGAGAGCAGCAGAAGATGGCCCAAGTCCTTGGGCCCCTGCACCCGAGTTGAGACCTAGAGGTAATTCCTGGACTCAGTCTGGCTCAGCTCACTTGTGAAGTAAACCAGCTGGAAGATCTGTCTCCAATTCTGCCTCTCAAATAAATAAATCAATGGGGCCCGGCGCTGTGGCACAGCAGGTTAACGCCTTGGCCTGAAGTGGCAGCATCCCATGTGGGTGCCGGTTCTAGTCCTGGCTGCTCCACTTCTGATCCGGCTCTCTGCTATGGCCTGGGAGGGCAGTGGAGGATGGCCCAGGTCCTTGGGCCCCTGTACCCGCGTGGGAGGCCTGCAAGAAGCTCCTGGCTGCTGGCTTCGGATTGGCATAGCTCTGGCCGTTGCGGCCATCTGGGGAGTGAACCATTGGATGAAGACCTCTCTCTCTGTCTCTACCTCTCTCTGCAACTCTGTCTTTCAAATAAATAAAATGCATCTTTAAAAACAAACAAACAAACAAATGAATGTTAAAAGAAAATAAAATTTATATTGAAGGTCAAAAGTGACTTTAAAAGTCAGAACACAGCTGTCTCTGGCTTTTTAAGTAGCCTTCCATGGATACATCACCCATAAAATTGCAAATACCCTAAAATTAAAGATGTGCATGACTTCCAGTGCTTAAAACAGTTGTGCAATAAAGCAGTGGAACTGAGTCAACAGGGCATAAATCGTGCTGACTTGAATCACTTGCATTCTTGGTAGCACTTTATGCGCACCCTTCACCGTTTTGAAATGCATGAACCTGCTTCTCTGTGCGACACAGGCTCCTGCGCTGCCAGACACTGGGCAGAGCCTGCAGCAACAGCACGGATGACTTCTAATCCCTGTGTTCCCCTCCAGGCACTACCTGGTTCCTCCTAATGTAATAAGGCTTTTAGTGAGCAAATGGTAGCAATCTATACCAGGGAACACATCTTTACACCCCTCCCCCCACCCCGGTCACCCCCACAGCTCCTGTATTTTGGGTTCAGGATTAACCACTGCATTGCAGGGTTTCCCAGCAAGTTGGCCTCTAGATCTCACTCAGAGCTGGCAGCCTACCTGGTAGGGTTGGGACTCCCTGCTGTCGACTTCATGTTGGCAGAGTAGACACAGATTTGCTGGATTTCTGAAGTAACCAGCCTTTAAAATTTATCCTGAAAGGACAGAGCAAGAGACCTTCCATCAGCTGGCTCACCTCCCAGATGGCCTCAGTAGCCAGGTCTAGTGTCCCACATAGGTGGTGGGGGCTCGTGCACCTGCCATCCTGTGACACCCTGGCAGCCACATTAGCAGGAAGCAGGGTCTGAAGCCGAGCAGCCTGCATGTAAAGTGGCACACCCATTGCAGGCTGCCAGAATTGCAATTGTGGCTTAACCCACTGTGCCAGAACAGACCCTTGAAATAGCCTTCTAACCTAGACAGGTGAAACACAGCCAGGGGCCAAGATGCCACGCAAACCCACAGCTGCAACACCACACCATAGGCACACAGCACTCCCCGCTGCTCTGCTTCCAATCCAGCCCCTCCTGGCTAACGCTAACAGCCCTGCTACCCAAATGAGACCCAGATGGAGCTGCAGGCTCCTGGATTTGGGCCTGGCCCAATCCTGCCTGGCTTTTGTAGTCATCTGGGGTGTGATCCAAGGAGAACCTGTCTCAACTGTGCCTTCCAGACATAAGCATACTGTAAACCAGGCTGTGCTGACCCTTGGCTGCCCAGAGACTGCAACCTGGTTCATCACAGCCCTTCTTACCAACCAGGATGGTGGCTCTGGAAAGAGCCTTCAGGTCACAGCCACCCAGAATGCCTCCAGCCCCAGGATGAGCCTTTTGTCATAGCCCTTTTTCCGACCAGGGAGGTGGCTCTGAAAAGAGCCTTTGGGTTACAGCAGTGAGACGTCAGGCACCCGTGGGCCTTAGGCACGCTCCCCACGGATGCGGCGCGCCAGCTGGATGTCCTTGGGCATGATGGTGACGCGCTTGGCGTGGATGGCACACAGGTTGGTGTCCTCGAAGAGCCCCACGAGGTAGGCCTCGCACGCCTCCTGCAGCGCCATGACGGCCGAGCTCTGGAAGCGCAGGTCCGTCTTGAAGTCCTGCGCGATCTCGCGCACCAGGCGCTGGAATGGCAGCTTGCGGATCAGCAGCTCGGTGGACTTCTGGTAGCGCCGGATCTCGCGCAGCGCCACGGTGCCTGGCCGGTAGCGGTGCGGCTTCTTCACGCCGCCCGTGGCCGGCGCGCTCTTGCGGGCGACCTTGGTGGCCAGCTGCTTGCGCGGCGCCTTCCCGCCGGTGGACTTGCGCGCCGTCTGCTTCGTGCGTGCCATAGCTCTCTCTGCGCGCCTTTCTCCCAGTGCTCAGCTCCCACCGCCCGCTAGGTTCCTCCCACTGCCTGCGCCCAGCCGCGGGGCACGCCTGCTTTTATAGAGGCTGACGCGTTTTCATTGGCCAGCCGCTGGGTGGCGGGCAGCACTCTGATTGGTCCGTGGGTCACGTGCACTGGGCCTCTGCCTCAGGTTGGCTGTCGTAGGTCATTGCGGGCCCAGGAAGGCCAGGCCGGGGGTGGGGGGGTGTCTCCGCTCCTAGGCTCCCCTTTTCTGTCAGGGGTTGGAAGGCAGAACCTTCTAGAAATGAGCGCCCCGAATTCCACCACTACACGGTGACAATGTTGAATTTCCCAGGCCTCTGGGATACCAGGAACACAGCCAGTTTGAGGGGCCCCTTCCCCTGTTCCTATGGCTCGGCCGAGAGGCGTGGAGGCGTGGAGTTGTGGCGAGGGCGCGGCGGGTAAAGCCGCCATCTGAGATGCGGGTTCGAGTCCCCGCTGCCCCACTTCCTGCCCAGGCCCCTGCACGCACGTGGGAGCCCTGGATGAGGCTCTGCGCTCCTGGCTTCGGCCACCGCCACCAACTGGTGAGTGAACGAGCCGAGTGGCAGATATCTTTCAGAATAAATGATTTTTAAGAAATATGTGGCTCAGCTGGAGGGTTGAATGGATCAGCCTGGAGGAGAGGGTGGGTCAGTCAGTCAGGAGGGTCAAGGCCAGGTCAGTCAGTCAGGAGAGGCTGGGGGGGGGGGTCAGCCAGTCAGGAGGGGTCAGGGCCAGGTCAGTCAGTCAGGAGAGGCTGGGGGGAGGGGGTCAGCCAGTCAGGAGGGGTCAGGGCCAGGTCAGTCAGTCAGGAGAGGCGGGGGGGGGGTCAGCCAGTCAGGAGGGGTCAGGGCCAGGTCAGCCAGTCAGGAGAGGCCGGGGGGGGGGGGTCAGCCAGTCAGGAGGGGTCAGGGCCAGGTCAGTCAGTCAGGAGAGGCCATGGGGGGGGTCAGCCAGTCAGGAGGGGTCAGGGCCAGGTCAGTCAGTCAGGAGAGGCCATGGGGGGTCAGTCAGTCAGGAGAGGCTGGGGGGGGGTCAGCCAGTCAGGAGGGGTCAGGGCCAGGTCAGTCAGTCAGGAGAGGCTGGGGGGAGGGGGTCAGCCAGTCAGGAGGGGTCAGGGCCAGGTCAGTCAGTCAGGAGAGGCTGGGGGGGGGTCAGCCAGTCAGGAGGGGTCAGGGCCAGGTCAGCCAGTCAGGAGAGGCCGGGGGGGGGTCAGCCAGTCAGGAGGGGTCAGGGCCAGGTCAGTCAGTCAGGAGAGGCCATGGGGGGAGGTCAGCCAGTCAGGAGGGGTCAGGGCCAGGTCAGTCAGTCAGGAGAGGCCATGGGGGGTCAGTCAGTCAGGAGAGGCTGGGGGGGGGGTCAGCCAGTCAGGAGGGGTCAGGGCCAGGTCAGTCAGTCAGGAGAGGCTGGGGGGAGGGGGTCAGCCAGTCAGGAGGGGTCAGGGCCAGGTCAGTCAGTCAGGAGAGGCTGGGGGGGGGTCAGCCAGTCAGGAGGGGTCAGGGCCAGGTCAGCCAGTCAGGAGAGGCCGGGGGGGGGGGTCAGCCAGTCAGGAGGGGTCAGGGCCAGGTCAGTCAGTCAGGAGAGGCCATGGGGGGGGTCAGCCAGTCAGGAGGGGTCAGGCCAGGTCAGTCAGTCAGGAGAGGCCATGGGGGGTCAGTCAGTCAGGAGAGGCTGGGGGGGGGTCAGCCAGTCAGGAGGGGTCAGGGCCAGGTCAGTCAGTCAGGAGAGGCTGGGGGGAGGGGGTCAGCCAGTCAGGAGGGGTCAGGGCCAGGTCAGTCAGTCAGGAGAGGCTGGGGGGGGGTCAGCCAGTCAGGAGGGGTCAGGGCCAGGTCAGCCAGTCAGGAGAGGCCGGGGGGGGGTCAGCCAGTCAGGAGGGGTCAGGGCCAGGTCAGTCAGTCAGGAGAGGCCATGGGGGGAGGTCAGCCAGTCAGGAGGGGTCAGGGCCAGGTCAGTCAGTCAGGAGAGGCCATGGGGGGTCAGTCAGTCAGGAGAGGCTGGGGGGGGGTCAGCCAGTCAGGAGGGGTCAGGGCCAGGTCAGTCAGTCAGGAGAGGCTGGGGGGAGGGGGTCAGCCAGTCAGGAGGGGTCAGGGCCAGGTCAGTCAGTCAGGAGAGGCTGGGGGGGGGTCAGCCAGTCAGGAGGGGTCAGGGCCAGGTCAGTCAGTCAGGAGAGGCTGGGGGGGGGGGGTCAGCCAGTCAGGAGGGGTCAGGGCCAGGTCAGTCAGTCAGGAGAGGCTGGGGGGAGGGGGTCAGCCAGTCAGGAGGGGTCAGGGCCAGGTCAGTCAGTCAGGAGAGGCTGGGGGGGGGTCAGCCAGTCAGGAGGGGTCAGGGCCAGGTCAGCCAGTCAGGAGAGGCCGGGGGGGGGGGGGTCAGCCAGTCAGGAGGGGGTCAGGGCCAGGTCAGTCAGTCAGGAGAGGCCATGGGGGGGGGTCAGCCAGTCAGGAGGGGTCAGGGCCAGGTCAGTCAGTCAGGAGAGGCCATGGGGGTCAGTCAGTCAGGAGAGGCTGGGGGGGGGGGGGTCAGCCAGTCAGGAGGGGTCAGGGCCAGGTCAGTCAGTCAGGAGAGGCCATGGGGGGTCAGTCAGTCAGGAGAGGCTGGGGGGGGGGTCAGCCAGTCAGGAGGGGTCAGGGCCAGGTCAGTCAGTCAGGAGAGGCTGGGGGGAGGGGGTCAGCCAGTCAGGAGGGGTCAGGGCCAGGTCAGTCAGTCAGGAGAGGCTGGGGGGGGGTCAGCCAGTCAGGAGGGGTCAGGGCCAGGTCAGTCAGTCAGGAGAGGCCATGGGGGGTCAGCCAGTCAGGAGGGGTCAGGGCCAGGTCAGTCAGTCAGGAGAGGCTGGGGGGAGGGGGTCAGCCAGTCAGGAGGGGTCAGGGCCAGGTCAGTCAGTCAGGAGAGGCTGGGGGGGGGTCAGCCAGTCAGGAGGGGTCAGGGCCAGGTCAGCCAGTCAGGAGAGGCCGGGGGGGGGGGTCAGCCAGTCAGGAGGGGTCAGGGCCAGGTCAGTCAGTCAGGAGAGGCCATGGGGGGGGTCAGCCAGTCAGGAGGGGTCAGGGCCAGGTCAGTCAGTCAGGAGAGGCCATGGGGGGTCAGTCAGTCAGGAGAGGCTGGGGGGGGGTCAGCCAGTCAGGAGGGGTCAGGGCCAGGTCAGTCAGTCAGGAGAGGCTGGGGGGAGGGGGTCAGCCAGTCAGGAGGGGTCAGGGCCAGGTCAGTCAGTCAGGAGAGGCTGGGGGGGGGTCAGCCAGTCAGGAGGGGTCAGGGCCAGGTCAGCCAGTCAGGAGAGGCCGGGGGGGGGGTCAGCCAGTCAGGAGGGGTCAGGGCCAGGTCAGTCAGTCAGGAGAGGCCATGGGGGGAGGTCAGCCAGTCAGGAGGGGTCAGGGCCAGGTCAGTCAGTCAGGAGAGGCCATGGGGGGTCAGTCAGTCAGGAGAGGCTGGGGGGGGGTCAGCCAGTCAGGAGGGGTCAGGGCCAGGTCAGTCAGTCAGGAGAGGCTGGGGGGAGGGGGTCAGCCAGTCAGGAGGGGTCAGGGCCAGGTCAGTCAGTCAGGAGAGGCTGGGGGGGGGGTCAGCCAGTCAGGAGGGGTCAGGGCCAGGTCAGTCAGTCAGGAGAGGCCATGGGGGGTCAGCCAGTCAGGAGGGGTCAGGGCCAGGTCAGTCAGTCAGGAGAGGCTGGGGGGGGGGTCAGCCAGTCAGGAGGGGTCAGGGCCAGGTCAGTCAGTCAGGAGAGGCTGGGGGGAGGGGGTCAGCCAGTCAGGAGGGGTCAGGGCCAGGTCAGTCAGTCAGGAGAGGCTGGGGGGGGTCAGCCAGTCAGGAGGGGTCAGGGCCAGGTCAGTCAGTCAGGAGAGGCCATGGGGGGTCAGTCAGTCAGGAGAGGCCATGCGGGGTCAGTCAGTCAGGAGAGGTCATGGGGGGTCAGTCAGTCAGGAGAGGCCATGGGGGGTCAGTCAGTCAGGAGAGGCCATGGGGGGGTCAGCCAGTCAGGAGGGGTCAGGGCCAGGTCAGTCAGTCAGGAGGGGGTCAGGGCCAGGTCAGTCAGTCAGGAGAGGCTGGGGGGGGGGTCAGCCAGTCAGGAGGGGTCAGGGTCAGGTCAGCCAGTCAGGAGAGGCCATGGGGGGTCAGTCAGTCAGGAGAGGCCATGGGGGGTCAGTCAGTCAGGAGAGGCCATGGGGGGGTCAGCCAGTCAGGAGGGGTCAGGGCCAGGTCAGTCAGTCAGGCGGGGTCAGGGCCAGGTCAGTCAGTCAGGAGGGGGTCAGGGCCAGGTCAGTCAGTCAGGAGAGGCTGGGGGGGGGTCAGCCAGTCAGGAGGGGTCAGGGTCAGGTCAGCCAGTCAGGAGAGGCCATGGGGGGAGGTCAGTCAGTCAGGAGATGCCATGGGTGGGTCAGTCAGTCAGGAGAGGTCATGGGGGGTCAGTCAGTCAGGAGAGGTCATGGGGGGGTCAGCCAGTCAGGAGGGGTCAGGGCCAGGTCAGTCAGTCAGGAGAGGCCATGGGGGGTCAGTCAGGAGGGGTCAGGGCCAGGTCACTCAGTCAGGAGAGGCCATGGGGGGTCAGTCAGTCAGGAGAGGCCATGGAGGGTCAGTCAGTCAGGAGAGGCCATGGGGGCGTCAGCCAGTCAGGAGGGGTCAGGGCCAGGTCAGTCAGTCGGTCAGGAGAGGTCACAGCTGGGTTAGTCAGTCAGGTGGGGTCAGGGCTGGGTCAGCCAGTCACAGCAGCGGTGGGGTCTGGGCTGGTCAGTCGCGGCCGAGGGGCTGTTGGTGCGCAGGGCCAGAGTCTTCAGTGCAGGCGGAAGGCCTCCTTGAGAGCCCCGCCAGGGCCGCCAGGCAGACGGTCAGCGCAAGTAGGCTTCCAGTTTTCTCCTTGGCTCCTGCTGCTTCCACAGCATTTTAATTCTGGGTCAGCCCAGAGCGAGCTGCTGGGCCCCGCCGTGGGACTCAACATCCTTCGGCCCTGGCCGCCACTGTCTGTGAACACCAGAACGCCTGCTCTGCTCCTAGTCCCCCTTACAGGGCCCTGCTCTCCCCGCTTGCTTTCTTGATTTCTCTCATTGGGTGCAGGTTGATTCGTTAGGTTCCTATTTTTTAAAACAGGGGTGGAATTCACATGACACCAGCCGCTCTGGAGTGCAGAAGGAAGGGGCATTTCCCGTACTGCCTGTTGTGCAACGCCGCTCATGTCTAGTTCCTGAACAGTGACCCCGAAGGAAACCCTGTACGCACGAAGCGTCCCCCACTCCTGTCTCCTGCTGTGGTTCCCGGCAACAGCCAATCTGGCTTCCAGGGATCTGCCTATTCTGAGCTTTCCTCAGAGACGGGCACCGCCGTGTGGTGGTCGCTGTGAGCGTGGCGCCCGCCAGCATCATCTGTGTGGCAGCATCGTCCTGGCTGCATGGGCAGACACCAATGGGTGCATGCGGCCATCATCTGGACACCGGGCTGTCCCCTGGGGCCTGTCCCTGCAGGTGGAATAGCTGGACCACACAGCAGTCTCTTCCCAAGGCGTCTGAGCTTTCTCGGAGCAGTTCCAGGCAATGTCCGAGCCTGGTAAGCTGGGATCTCCACACATCAAACCACAGCTGTCTACCTGAACTTCCTGCATCTGAGCTAACCTGGTGTCCACTAAGCTACTGCCCACCTGTCCCTAGGGAGCCTGGGCATCTGCATCCTCGTACCTATTTTTTATTAACTGAAAATTAAACAGCTCCTGTGGCTTGATGCTGTGTGATGGGCAGGTTATACCCTGGGGCTGGCCTTAAGCCGCCAGCCCCACCCATGACAATGGGATGTCTGAGTCCCACTGCTCCGTTTCCGATCCGGCTCCCTACTATGGCCTGGGAAAGCACTGTGGAATGACACAAGTGTGCGGTCCCTGCACCTGCATGGGAGACCTGGATGAAGTTCCTGCCTCCTGGCTTCGACCTAGCCCAGCCCTGGCCATTGCAGCCATTTGGGGAGTGAACCAGTGCGCAGAAGACCTCTGTCTCTTCCTCTCTTGCTCTTTATGTAACTCTTTCAAGTAAATAAATTTTTTAAAAAAGAAAAAAGAAATACCATGAGTGGACCTCCTGCCACAAATCTGAGTATTTTTAAAAAAGATTTTATTTGAGAGGCAGAGTTACACACAATAGAAACAGAGAATCCACATCTCCCACACGGGTGCATGGTGCAAGGGCTTGGGCCATCTTCTACTGCTTTCCCAGGCCACAGCAGAGAGCTGGATCGGATGTAGAGCAGCCAGGACTCCAACCGGCGCCCCCATGAGATCCCGGCGCTGCAGGCAGCGGCTTTACCTACTACAACACAGGGCAGCCCTGAGTAATTTTCTTTTCAATCTGAAAATTCATGACAATTCTTGAGATACCAGCCCCCCTAAAAATACTTCTAACAGGGGCCAGCACTGTGGCATAGCCTTTTCGAGTCCCGGCTGCTCCACATCCAATCCAGCTCTCAGCTATGGCCTGGGGAAGCAGCAGCAGATAGATGCCCCAAGTGCTTGGGCCCCTGCACCCGCATGGGAGACCCCAAAGAAGCTCCTGGCTCCTGGCTCGGATTGGCACAGCTCTGGCTATTGCGGCCAACTGGGAGTGAACCAGTGAATGGAAGACCTCTCTCTCACTCTGTGTAACTCTGACTTTCAAATAAATAATTCTTAAAAAAAAAAAAAAAAAAAGTCTAACATTCCACTATCATAGTTGAAGAGCAGTGTAGACACATACTAAAAACAAATGTAACCCATAATTCAAGCCTCCCACTAGAAGCTTAAGGGCCACACTCTAAAGCAGTGCACTCTTGGCCCATCTTCACAGTGCCCACCTAGGCACACGGTGGGAAACGTGTGCCTCATGCACGGTTCTCACCACTTCCGGCCCAGCTGCACAGCACCAGGGCATTCTCACAGCAGACTTGTGAGTAACTTGTGCAGCCCTGCTTTGGGTAGACCCATTTTACTAGAATAGATTCGTATTATATAATGTCCCTGGATTCTTACCGGCCTGTACGTACTGCTGCAAAACATTAAGAACTGGACAGGTAACAGAACACGAGTCACACCCACAGAGCTCCGCCTTTAGGAAGGAATTATCCTGGACTAAGTCTTGCCACCACCCCCTACCCCAGTCGGTGCCATACACAGAGCCTTCCTGTGGGCTTTGCCTGCAGCTCTGCAACCGTAGCGCCCACTTCATGAATGGTCATCTTCCTAGAACATCCATGTTGTCTGGCCCAAGCTACTTAAAATTTTGTATTTATATTAACACAAACCCCCCATCAAAACCAGCGCACCAGTCGTTTTGTTGTTTCTGAAAAATTAATGGCATCCCTCTTCGCATCTCGCCAACCCAAACTCAACTAACCTATCTACAATTGCCTGCCTAAGCGGCTCGTCCCTTTTAAGACAAAGTGATTTGTGGAAAGCTCGGAAAATGCCTCTAGCAAACAAACGCTTCCCGAGTAGTCAGCGGACCTAACATTCGGCAACTCAGTGAGGCCTGCAGCATTTTTAATACAGACCCGAAGACCGACATGTAAGCATCTCAAACGCGTACAGCATTGCAGATTCCTCCACCCCCGTCAATCAAGTCCAACCGCCCCCCCCCCCCCCCCGCAGCAGTCAGGCCGGATTTCAGGTCTGAACGTCGAAGCAGTCCCCGGAGGCTGGCCCCTAGCAGGCGTGGACCTTAACGGCAGGGCGCGGTGGCCTGCGGGGAGCGCACGCCCCGCGCTCAGCGCCGCTCTTTTCCCGAAACAGTGGGTGGCTCTGAAAAGAGCCTTTGGTGTCCGTCGCAGGGCCCGGGGACGGCGGCCTCACTTGCCCTTGGCCTTGTGGTGGCTCTCGGTCTTCTTGGGCAGCAGCACGGCCTGGATGTTGGGCAGCACGCCGCCCTGCGCGATGGTGACGCGGCCCAGCAGCTTGTTGAGCTCCTCGTCGTTGCGGATGGCCAGCTGCAGGTGGCGCGGGATGATGCGCGTCTTCTTGTTGTCGCGCGCCGCGTTGCCCGCCAGCTCCAGGATCTCGGCCGTCAGGTATTCGAGCACGGCCGCCAGGTACACGGGCGCGCCGGCGCCCACGCGCTCCGAGTAGTTGCCCTTGCGCAGCAGCCGGTGCACGCGGCCCACGGGGAACTGCAGCCCAGCGCGCGACGAGCGCGACTTGGCCTTGGCGCGCGCCTTGCCGCCCTGCTTACCGCGGCCGGACATCCCCGCCTGCACAACCAGCAAGACCCAGCAACCACAACCGCAGGCCGAAAAGAACGCGCGCGCGGCCCCCAGCGAGCCCTTATATATGATCCCGCGGTCGGCTAGGCGGCGGCGTTCGATTGGATAGCAGTGACAGCCAATCAGAAAGGGAACCCAGAATCTCCTAATTTGCATACGCCTGCCCAGCGATGGCGTCACGGACCACGTCGTCCAATCAGAAGCGAGCACGCCCGAACCTTCATTTGAATATAAGGTGTACAAATACAATCGCTGGGCTCGTTTTTTTCCCACGACCGCGCGGCTCGCGACCATGCCTGACCCGTCCAAGTCCGCGCCTGCGCCCAAGAAGGGCTCCAAGAAGGCGGTGACCAAGGCGCAGAAGAAAGACGGCCGCAAGCGCAGGCGCGGCCGCAAGGAGAGCTACTCCATCTACGTGTACAAGGTGCTCAAGCAGGTGCACCCCGACACCGGCATCTCGTCCAAGGCCATGGGCATCATGAACTCGTTCGTCAACGACATCTTCGAGCGCATCGCCAGCGAGGCGTCGCGCCTGGCGCACTACAACAAGCGCTCGACCATCACGTCGCGCGAGGTGCAGACGGCCGTGCGTCTGCTGCTGCCCGGCGAGCTGGCCAAGCACGCCGTGTCCGAGGGCACCAAGGCCGTCACCAAGTACACCAGCTCCAAGTGACGCGCGCAGCGCGCACCCAAAGGCTCTTTTCAGAGCCACCTCCGAGCTCGATAAAGGAGCGTGTCACCTGGTCGAGGTCATGGGGGAAGGAGCTCAGCACCGCGAGGCTGGCTTGGGCGGGTTTGGGGTACAGGCCACGGGTCCGGGTGCCGAGCTGGCGAAGGGCGCAGCCCAGGGTGTCCCCGGGGTGAGGCGCCGGCGCGCACCCAGGGCGCGCCGCCTGGCGGCGGTGTCGTGACCGAATGCAAGCGCTTCAGCCGGAAGCTCCTCGCCAGCGCTCCGTGCCACGCGCTCCTGTCCAGCCAGCGGGCGCCCAGCCTGATGTCCACGCTCCCTGCCAGGCAGGAGTCTCCCGGTTCCAGGATGCCACAGTGTGTGTGTGTGCTTGTCCGTGTCCCTGTGTACGCACGGATGCGTGCGTGTGTGCGTGTGCGCGTAGCGAGTCTGGTGACTGCTGAGACGTCTCTGCATGTCTATATCCAGTTAGGTCCCGGGCAAGCTAACGACGCCTGAAGGGCAAAGGCGCGCACGCGCTAAGAACCGCACAGTGCCCTAGGCTGCACGACCTCTCCCAGGGGAATCACTCCGCTCCCTAGCCCCCCGCCGCCCCCGGGACGTGGGGTCCGGGTCTGCCCGGTTGTTCTCTGCTGGACCGCGGCGCCGCGCCCACGCCCCTTCCACGGGCTGCGGCGCAGGGTCAGGGCCGCCTTGGTTTGCGGTCTCGGGTGGGGGAGGCCTGCTGCTGGATGCCTGGCGGACCCCTGCCCGCAAAGTCTCAGCTGGGGCTCCCAGGCCAGAATCCCGCGCCCCGGGCCTCCGCGGACGCCCCCGCCGAACTGCCGGTCACCGCGGCCACAGGGCGACTGGACAACGGCGTTCTGCGCGTGGTCTCCACCTGCCTGACCGCAGCTCAGGACCAGGATCCCTGCTCTGTTCCCGGGGGTGGAGCAGCCGCAACCCCCGCTGTCTCCCCAAACCTGCGTAGGGGAGAACACACGAGGTTCGATGCCCGCGTCACCCACAAAACGCGTTCTCGTGGAGTCAGCCTGGACACGCGACGCGCCCGGTCATCGCTGACCCGCACCGCACTCCGCACGCAGATCTCCAGCGCGGACCTGAGAGCCGGCCCAAGGGAGGACGTGGAGCTGTGGTGGGAGGCAGGGCGCCCAGCCCCCTCTGCGGGCCTGGGAGAGGCCCGGATTCCGTCAGCGTGGGGACAAGCCCCGCATTCTGGCGGTGCCTGCTTCTGAGGGCGGGTCATGGTTAGAGCTAAGAAGACAGAGAACTGGGTGAGATGGCAAAGTGTCCACCCCGCGAGTTTATTTCCATGTTTTTTTAGAGCAAACCTCCGGAACGGAAGTGATGCTGCATGCGGTAAGCTCTGTGGACACACAGACCACGCATGCCTGTGCGTGCTAAGGACAGGAATCCGGCTGGAGGCAGATGCCCGCATCCTGCATGCGCATGGGTTCTAGTCCCGCTGCTCCTCTTCCCATCCAGCTCTCTGCTAATGGCCTGGGAAAGCAGTAGAAGGTGACCCAAGTCCTTGGGCTCCGGCATCCATGTGGGAGACTTGGAAGAAGCTCCTGGCTCCTGATTTCAGCCCGGCCTAGCCCCAGGTCGTTGTGGCCATTTGGGGGAGTGAACCAGCAGATGGAAGATCTCTCTTTCTCCCTCTCTCTGTAGCTCTTTCAAATAAGGGAGGTGGAGAGAAGAAAAGAGAGAAAAAGGGGGAGAGGGAGGGATGGAGCAGTCACAGGCATGGTGGTCCCTGTCACTGAGTCAGCCTCACCCAAGGATCCGAGGCCATCTTTGACACAAGTATGTGAGCATGTGCCCTCCGCATGGTCTCTGAGACATGAGACTGCTCACCTGGGAGTTTGTTGAAATTGCAACGGGCATTTTTTGTTGTTGTTTTTTAGGGAAGGGTAATAGAACAGTTCAACTACAACAGAGCAGTAATAAACCATGTCGTATGTAACAGAGTACTCTAATAAACCATGCATGCTGTAGGAATGTGTGAAACAGAACACTAACCATGAAGGTATGTACTTATGTGTGTAGGATAGGTAGGTATGTTTGTACGGTATGTATGTGTGTGTAAAAGAACAAACCATGTGTGTACATATGTAATGCATATAGATATGTATGTATGGTACATATGTGTGAGACAGAACACTAATAAGCCATGTTTTAACAGAACACTAATAAACCATGTATACATGTATGTACCAGAACACTAATAAACAAATGCATGTATGTAATGTGTCTGTGAAACAGAACACTAATAAACTATGTATGTATGTGTATATAAATGTAATGTATGCATGTCATGTATGTGAAACAGAACACTAATAAGTCATGCATGTATATATGTGATGCATATTTACTAATGAGCAATGCCTGTATGTGTGAAACAGAACATTAACATGCATGTAATGCATGTATGTAACAGAACACTAATAATCATGTGTATTATGAAGCAACACTAGTAAACCATGTGTGTGCCTATGTACATATGTGATGAATGATGTTTGTAATAGAACACTAACAATCATGTGCGTGTGTATTATGAAGCTACACTAATAAACCATGTGTGTGCATACGTACGTATGTAATGAATTATGTAGTACATGTATGTGTTGTGAAACACAGGCAGACTGGATGGAAACGCGCTCAGAGAGCAGACTCGTCTCCTGCAATAGCTCAGTTAAGAATTTGCTCATGCGGGTTAGTAACTGCTTATGGGATCAAACTCAAAATTCCAGGAATTACCTTCAGATGACAGGTGCGACGATTTTTCATATTATACAAATGTTTCTGACAGGCAGGAGGACCCTCCATCCACGGTTCCCTCGGCAAACGCCCACAGCAGCCGGGGCGTGGGTGGCAGAGACTCCGCTCAAGCCCCGGACGCGGGAGGGGAGCGGCGTCCACGCCCGGAGCCGTCCGCTCCGAGCCTTCTGACCCGGTGACTGCAGCGCCGCAGACGCCGGCGCCAGACCCGAGCGCTCGCCACGTCCGTGGGGGGCGCGCGCGGGGACAACTGGCGCTCGCCTCGAATCGCGGCCCCCGTGCCCCCGCCCGCCTCCCGGCGAGCGGAGGATTCAGGGCTGAGACTGTTGCGCTGAGTTTAATTCTTTGCGGGAGGCGGTGGCGCTCCGTGCCGCCAGGCCTCTCCCGATCCTCACCGGCTCTGGGCAGTGACCCGGGACCCAGAGCTCACAGCGATATCAGAGCTAGGGCACCCGCACCAAAACGGCACTCTGCACGTACGCACTGCGCATCCGGGGAAGGCGGGGGCGCTTCCAAAGCCAACGCGGTCGCTCCCGTGGCAGAGGGGCCTCTCACGGCGACCCGGAACCCCGCCTCGGCGGTGCAGGCCGCCCGGCTCCGACCCCCGCCGGCTTCAGTCCTGCTGCCCCCGCGTTCGCAGGCTCCGGCTCTACCACAGCACCCAGGACACACCCGCGCCCTCACCTACGGCTCCCCATGGGCATTCGGGGCCGACAGCCCTGGGCGGGGCCGAGGACGTGACCGAGCCGGCCGTCTCCGCCTGCTGTGGAGCAGGTGCACGCTCCCGCACCACACCGCACGCACGCACTCAAGACCCAAACCAAGGAACCGGGCAGCTAATGGAGCGCGGGGAGCTACACGAGGCCAGACAACCCACGCCCAAGCCGTGTTCGAAACCCTTTCTCGACCGTGTGGGTGGCTCTGAAAAGAGCCTTTGGGTGCGCGCTGCGCGCGTCACTTGGAGCTGGTGTACTTGGTGACGGCCTTGGTGCCCTCGGACACGGCGTGCTTGGCCAGCTCGCCGGGCAGCAGCAGACGCACGGCCGTCTGCACCTCGCGCGACGTGATGGTCGAGCGCTTGTTGTAGTGCGCCAGGCGCGACGCCTCGCTGGCGATGCGCTCGAAGATGTCGTTGACGAACGAGTTCATGATGCCCATGGCCTTGGACGAGATGCCGGTGTCGGGGTGCACCTGCTTGAGCACCTTGTACACGTAGATGGAGTAGCTCTCCTTGCGGCCGCGCCTGCGCTTGCGGCCGTCTTTCTTCTGCGCCTTGGTCACCGCCTTCTTGGAGCCCTTCTTGGGCGCGGGGGCCGAGCGGGAGGGCTCGGGCATGGCGGCGCAGCGGCGGCACGGACACGCAGGGCACTGCGGCGCGGGCGGGCCTATTTGCCGTCTATCTAGTCAAATGAAGGCTCCGGATCGCCAGCGTCTGATTGGGAGGCTCGTCTCCTATGTAAATAGGAGATGCCAGCTCTTCTTTGCCATTGGGCCACAGCCCGGCCAATCCAGAGGCGCGTCGGTGCCGCTCGTGGGAGCGGCCAGGGCGGGTTCGCCTTTGTTCCGACCCTTTGTTCCCGGCCGCCGAAGACTGGCGGCCCGGCGCGGATGGACGCGGCCGCCGAGGAAGCGCGGGTCGTGCTGCGGCCGGCCTTCCCGACGCCGGCAGCAGGGCGGAGCCGTTTTTTCCGCACGGGTTCTCCCTCTGCAGCCGCCCCACGTTCCTGCAGCGTGCCGAGTGCGTCCACACTGCCTGTGAGGAAGCGCGGGCAGTGGTGCTGCAGGGGGAGACGGGGCGGGCTTCCAGTGGGCGTCCGCGCTGAGGAGGCTCCGAGACCCCAGCGTCGTCACTGTTGCGTCATCACAGCAACCCCGAGTCTCGCCTCTGCATCACCTGCGGAGCTTTTTGGGAACCCGGCAGCTGGAGCCCTGATCCGGGCGGGCAACGCCCGTGTCCCCACCCTCACCCGCAGAGTGAAGACGGGGACCCCGGGGACGGCTGCTGCGAGCCGAGTGGCCGAGCGGGCGCCCGGCGCGCACAGGCTGTTATGGCTTGCGCCCTGTCTGTCTTCCCTTTTCCCGGCCAGCCCCGCCAGCAGCAGCAGGGGCTGCCTGGACTGAGCGCTCCCCGCCATCACAGCCTTTCTCTGGCTCTTTGAAACCCTGACCGAGCTGTGCGCCCCGCACCTCTGCGTGTCCGGAGCAGGGGGGCGGGCAGCTCATGCACAGGGTCTGTCCTCAGGCGGCCATGCGGCGTGAACGCTGGTCCCCGGGGCTCCCCAGATGGAGTCAGCACGAATGCTTTATCTGTTTCCTTTAAAAAGATATGGTTGCGTTCACAAACATTTCCAGAGTGGCGACCGCTGAATACTTAATCCAGGGGGCTGGCACTGTGGCACGGTAGGTTAAGCCTTGGCCTGCAGCGCTGGCATTCCATATAGGTCCGGTTCGAATTCCGGCTGCTCCACTTCCGATCCAGCTCTCTGCTATGGCCTGGGAAAGCAGTGGAGATGGCCCAAGTGCTTGGGTCCCTGCACCCACGTGGGAGACCAGGATGAAACTCCTGGCCCCTGGCTTTGGATAGCTTCACTGCTGAGGCCATTTGAAGAGTGAACCAGTGGATGCAAGGTCTCTTAGTAACTCTGCCTTTTGAATAAAATAATTTTTTAAAGATTTATTTATTTACTTGAAAGTCAGAGTTACACACAGAGAAGGAGAGGCAGAGAGAGAGAGAGAGGTCTTCCATCCACTGGTTCACTCCCCAATTGACTGCAATGGCCGGAGCCGTGCCCATCTGAAACCAGGAGTGAGGAGCTTCCTCCGGGTCTCCCATGCAGGTGCAGGGGCCCAAGGTCTTGGGCCATCTTCTACTGCTTTCCCAGGCCATAGCAGAGAGCTGGATCGAAAGTGGAGCAGCTGGGACTCAAACTGGCATCCATATGGGATGCTGGCACTGCAGGCAGCGACTTTACCCACTATGCCACAGCGCCGGCCCCATAAAATAATATTTTAAAAACTTGTTAAACCATGGTTAAATGTCACTCCAACATTGTACAAATGAAGCCTTATTAAAAACAATATTCCAACCTGGTTCCCACCAGGCACTGTGGGTACGTGCACTGGGTTTAGTCGGCCTCCAAACGTAAGGCAATTTGTGCAGGTCCTTGGAGGATCCTGCTTCAGGGTTCACCCTGCAAAGTCAGCTGAGCAGATCCCCCATCCAATCACCCTCAGTACTCGGTCACCCTCAGCATTTGATCAGCTCCCCCATCCTCCCTGAGGCTCCTTCCTCTTAGGGTTCACCCACAGATTCCATTGGAGAAGTTATGGGGAGCTTTATTCTGACTCATGGTTCTGGCCCGACGCTGAGGGGCCACATGCAGAGATGGCTTCTTGCTGGTAGAGTCCCGAGGCAGCTCAGGGCACCACATGGCAAGAAGGAGAGCGCAAGACAGACCCCGCAAACCGGTGTTTAGAGCTAACACACTCCCAGGATAGCTCATTAGCCCATACTCCATTGATCCAGGAATTGACATTCGTTATTGAGGGCAGAGTGCTGTCCCTCTCGAGGGTCCCACCCCTTGGTATCAAACAGTGGGGTTAAGTTTCAGCTTGATTTTCTGTTCTTTGAATAGAGACAGACGTGAAGACCCCCACCCTGCTCCTTGGCTGTAAATGCCCACTTGGCTGTACTGTGTCTGGAGAGCTCAGTCTTGCTCTACCCTCTCCCTCACCCCCCGCCCCAGATCCCTGATGGATGTCTTCCCTACAGTGTGTGAACAAGGGTCAAGGCCCACCTGTCTTGGTCTCGCTTCCTGCCAGGGGCCTGCAGAGGCTTCCCCACCTCCTTGTGGTGACGGAAGGTTTGAATAAATTTTGCAGTGGTAATTTCTACGAAGAACTTTGGGCAAGGAGTTGTTTTCTAGTGCAGGAGCTAAGATTCAGGAGCTGGGGGCTGGCATTGTGGCGTGGTGAGTGGAGCCGCCTCCTGTGACATGGGCATCCCATATGGGTGCTAGTTAGAGTCCTGGCTGCTCCACTTCTGATCCAGTTCCCTGATAGTGTGTTTGGGCCCCTGCACCAATGTGGGAGACCCAAATGAAGCTCTTGCGCCTGGCTTTGCCTGGCCTGGCCCTTGCTGTTGCGGCTATTTGTAACTCTGATTTTAAAATAATTAAAATACATCTTAATAATAAAAAAAGGATTTAGGAACTGTTCTGCCCACCAGAGTGGCTGCTCAGTGTTGTTTGGATGTAAATCCCCATGGCTGTTGCTACCAGCTGAACGTATGTACCCCCTTAACTAGCATTGAACACCCTAATCCCCCATGTGATGCTGTCAGGAGGTGGGGATTTTGGGGGTAGTTCTGTCCTTAAGGTGGGGCCCTAGCCCCTCTGAGACCCAGAGAGCTTGCTTTTCTGTCACGTAAGAGCACAGTGAGAAGCACAGTGTTTGCAAACTGGGAAACCAACAGTGCCAACACTGTCTTGTCAGACTCCAGCCTCCAGACTGCGTGAGGTGCTGGCGACATCTGAGACACCCAGCCTGCAGTACAGCTGGTCCTCCACATACACGTGTTCTACACCCAGACTCAACCAGCCACAGGACAAAGACAGTAAAAACAGTCTGCACTGAATGTCACAGGCTCCATGTTTTCTTGTCATTATTGCTCAAACAACAGTGTGACACTACCTGCCTAACAGTTTATAAGGTACTATAATGGAGACATGGCATACAGTACACGGGAGGAAGGCTGATGAGCAGGCACTAAACTGCAGTCAAGGGAGCAAGTTCTGGAATTTGATTGCACAGTAGGTTGACCTTAATACACTGCATTTAAAACAATTAAAGAAAAGAGTATTTGAAAGGCACAGTGTCAGAGAGAAGAGGAAGAGAGACACATACAGATTCACTCCCCAAATGGCTGCAGCAGCTGGTCTGGGCCAGGCCAGAGCCAGGAGCCAGGAGCCAGGAGCTTCATCCTACTGTCCCAGTGGGTGGCAGCAGTCTAAGTATTTGGACAGTTATCTGATGCTCCCAGGGTGCACAAGAAGCTGGATCTGAAGCAAAGTGGCTGGTGGGGCCAGCTCTGTGGCCTGTCGGGTTAAGTACTGTGGCCTGGGATGCCAGCATTCCATATGGATGCCAGTTCAAGACTCGGCTGTTCCACTTCCAATTCAGCTCTCTGCTAATGGGTCTGTGAAGGCAGCAGAGGATGCCGGCATTGCAAGCAGGGGATTAACCTACTGCATCACAGAGCCGGCCCAATAATAAATCTTAAAAGATATTGATATTTAAAAAAATGTAGCCAGGACTTCAAGAAGCATTTTGATGTGGGATGCAGGTATCCCAAGCAGTAGCTTAACCCGCTGTACCACGACATGGACCTCCACATTAAAAAAAAAAAAAAAAAAAAAAAGGCTGGCACCGCGGCTCAATAGGCTAATCCTCCACCTAGCAGCGCCGGCACACCGGGTTCTAGTCCCAGTCAGGGCGCCGGATTCTGTCCCGGGTGCCCCTCTTCCAGGCCAGCTCTCTGCTGTGGCCTGGGAGTGCAGTGGAGGATGGCCCAAGTCCTTGGGCCCTGCACCTGCATGGGAGACCAGGAGAAGCACCTGGCTCCTGGCTTCGGATCAGCGCGGTGCGCCGGCCGCAGCACGCCAGCCGTGGCAGCCATTGGAGGGTGAACCAACGGCAAAAAGGAAGACCTTTCTCTCTCTCTCTCTCTCACTCTGTCTGTCAAAACAAACAAACAAACAAACAAAAAAACAAAAAACAAAAAACAACCAAAAAAACGGGGCCGATGCTGTGGCGCAGTAGGTTAATTCGCCTGTGGTGTGGGCATCCCATATGGGTGCCGGTTCTAGTTCCGGCTGCTCCTCTTCCAATCCAGCTCTCTGCTGTGGCCTGGGAGGGCAGTAGAAGATGGCTCAAGCCCTTGTGCCCCTGTGGGGGCACATGGAAGACCCAGAAGAAGCTCCTGGCTCCTGGCTTCAGATTGGCGCACTCTGGCCTTTGTGGCCATTTGGGGAGTGAATCAGCAGACGGAAGACCTTTCTCTCTGTCTTTCCCTCTCACTGTCTGTAACGCTGCCTCTTAAATAAATAAATAAAAATCTTAAAAAAGAAAAGCTAGAAGAAAGCATTTTGAATGTTTTTGCCATAGATGATAAATGCTTGAGACAGAGGTGTTACATTACACAATGCATGCTTGTATGAAGACAGCAAATGGCATCCCATAAATGAATGTATCAGGAAAAAAAACCCAAAGCATCCTTTTAATGATCCTTTCTTTCTTTTTTTTTATTTGACAGGCAGAGTTATAGACAGTGAGAGAGAGACAGAGAGAAAGATCTTCCTTCCATTGGTTCACTCCCTTAATGGTCACCACAGCCGGTACTGCGCTGATCCGAAGCCAGGAGCCAGGTGCCTCCACCCCGCTGCCCCAACCCAGTCTCCCATGAGGGGTGCAGGGCCCAAGCACTTGGGCCATCCTCCACTGCACTCCCGGGCCACAGCAGAGAGCTGGCCTGGAAGAGGAGCAACCGGGACAGAATCCGGCGCCCCGACGGGGCTAGAACCCAGGGTGCTGGCGCCGCCGGTGGAGGATTAGTCAAGTGAGCCACAGCGCCGGCCTCAATGATACTTTTCTAAATTAAAGCAGAAAAGCCCTTAGGAAATGTATTTGGCGGGTGTGGGTAACACACATACTAAACACGACACCATTTTCTATGGGACTCTGGCATCTGGGGTGGCACTGACCCGGAGGGTTGAGAAATGGGCAGGGGGGCACCCGGGGTGTGCAGAGCCAGCCCTGAGCTTGGGGTCAGGACCACGGCAGGCGGGACACTGCAGGTGAACTGGAGGAAAGGAGCGGGAAACGAAATGGAAGGAAAGAGGAGAGGCGCTTGGAGAGCGAGAGCAGATGGCGGCCGCCCCCGGGAAGCCACTGAGGGGTTCGAGTGCGCGCTTCCTTGGCGGTCCCGGGATAGCCGCGGCCCCGGCCCTGGGGCCTGGCGCCCTCCCAGCTCGGCCAGCACGCCTTTCAACAAATGACGCCAGCAGTAGCAAATAAGTGACCCCGAAGAAGGCTAGCGTCTCGGGGCTTGGAACTGGAGGGCAGCGGCGGCGGCCCGGGCCGGCCGTGGAGCTTTGCGTGCCAGGAGCGCGAAGCCCGGGAGGAGGCGGCTGGGGAGGACGAAGTGGGGGGGACGGGGGAGACCGGGAGGACGGAGTGGGGGAGAGGAGAGGACGGGGTTGGGGGAGAGGGCGGCGGAGCCGCCGAGGACCGGGCCCGCAGGCAGGGCGGCGGGGGCGAGGAGGACCGAGCCAGGCGGCGCGGCGCGGCCTGGCGGGCACCCGGTCCTCCCGCTGCGTCGAGCGCAGAAGAGGCTGCTGCCGCCAAGCGTGCTCCTCAGCAACGCAGAGAGGCTGCGGACGTCCAGATTCGCGGCACGGACGGACCGTGAGGCGAGCTGCGCGAAACGCGGGCTCCAGAGTCCAGCAGGAGCCAGTCCCACGCGTGTCCCCCCTGTCCCCCCCTCCGCCTCGCTCCCCCCGCAGCGCCTGGCGCCTGCAGGGGGCCCAGTGGCGCAGTCTGCCAGGGCCGACCCCGGTCCTATTCCATATCCCGCGTTTCTCTTCTTAAACGCGGGGATTCGCGCAT